TCGCTCTCTCGTCCTTCTTCTCCTTTCTTCGTCTTTATCCTCTTCCACCCGTTTCCTCTATTGCTAACCACCGCGTTAAAAAACGACTAACGAGGACTCGACGGACCGGCGTATACAAATCGGATCCCTTCCCGTACCCTTTTCGATCGCTCCGGGTCCACTTGGCCGATTATCGAGCGAGTATCGATCTCTCGCGAGACCCCTTGGTTGGATTATCGAGCGCGTTCCAGACACTTTGCCAGCCGAACCACGGAGGAAAAACTCGACCGGACAATGGTCGATTTGGATCGAGTAAACGAACGTTTCTACGAATCGACGAGCGCGTATATCGCCTCGCGCGATCACGCGTGTCCGCGAATGGCCAATGGCCTGGATTGAACAGGCCTCGCGGAAAGGGGCTGTTTGCGTTGAAAAGCTCGGCAAAAGTATTGTATGAGCTTAGTCGTGATGGGGGGGGGGGGGGGGTGTTAAAATGATTATCGTAAAATGGAGCGAATGGAAACGAAACTCGAATGTTACGCTCGATTTGTATTATTTGCGGTTGTAAGGTTACCTGTCGTTCATTTTGTGTGTTTTCCAATGATATATGGTTTATTTGAAACAGTGGCGTAGACCGTGCAAATGGTTCGTATTTTCGTGGTGCGATAAAGAACTTGACTCGCGTCCATTGACGAGGAACTGGTCCATGTCGAATAACAAACGTTAAACGAAGAAAAAATGGAAACGGCGGACCCAGATTCCGCGAAAAATCCGCATAGCTCCGAGGGTGACTCAGTACCAGATCTCCTTGAGCGTTTTACGAGTGCAAATATCGTCGTTTCTATCGGCTGCCCAGTGCCCACCTCTCTGACGTCCTACCTACAGGAGAGAGCGCGTCTTTTTCCTCTTTTTCTCACTCTATTTTTATTGTCCGTTCTTTGTCGGCTGTGCGCCGAGAGACTGACACGAGTCAGCGCTGACCGAGGCTACGAAACGTTTCATTCATGATTCTTTCGTCGGCCACGACCGGAACTTGCGGATTGTTCCACACCTCCTCCGTCTCGGGAATGAATTACCTTTCCTCGGAAAGGGCACGTCGCATAGCGCTCGAGCGAACTCGATCATCGAACAGCAACGCGAGACGTTACGTAAAAATTCATTTCCATCGCGGTGTATATCGACGATGTTTTCCTTGACCGGAAACACGAGGTGGCAACGATCTCTTTCTCGAGACTCCTTTTTTTCCTACGCCGTTTCGAAAGTATACTATACTGTACTCCAATTATTCTATTTTTCATCCTAGACAAAGGTACACATAAGACAACAGAATAAAAAGCGTACAGTGATGAAATATTAAAGTTACTCGTTGTATATACAGCCAGAAAATGGAACCAAGGCTCGTGGCAGCGTTTTAATTCTATCGGTTACCGTTTACGACGTGAAAAATATAGTTCAATCGTGAGTGTTGGTCCAGTACCTCTGAAAATACGCAGAGGAACGTACGCGGATTTAATCGCAATCGTCGTGAGAGTGGAATGTCACTCGTTACGAACGAGTTCGGCTACAAAAGGGCATGCTGGGTCGATAAATGCTCAAGGCTGAGTGATTTTCCGAACGACGACGCACGCTTGCGGCTCGCTCCTCGAAACAGGTCGTGTTACTTGGGAGGAGCGAACTCCATCATTTGTTCCTTTATCGCGAATCGATCAATCTTCTCATCGACGCGACCTCCCGATTACTTCGGTCGATCGTTGCCTGTTATCGCAAATTCCGCTCGTAATTAGCGGTAGGACGGATCGAGTTCAATATTAATCGACTCAATGCCCAAGATTCGTATCGCTGGAATCGAATGCTACTCGTGGATTGTGAATTATTCTATGGTTTCATATACCAAAATGTAAGGATTACATTCAATACTTCCTACATTCATTGATTACGCTTTCAGCGTTGAGAAATTAAAAATAGAGGAAGTGAACCTCGTCAAAGTTGTACCTCAGACTTATTTCGTTAAGAATGTGCTGCAGATTAGCGCAGAGTGCGATAACTATTTCAGAGTAATGCCACGGAACAATAAAGCGACGGTCGTCCAATTGTTATCGAACGAAAGTGAGTAACCCCGCTAATTTTTAGGTAGCAAACGAAACGAACTTTCCAAGCTGAAAGTCTAATGTTATCATTAACAATAGAAAGAAACGAAACGAGGGTCCCACTTTGGTACACCTTCTTTATAGATATTTCAATTGGCACCACTAATTAATTAATACTAATTTTTCTTCTCCGTATTAGAGTACAGGGGACACAAGTTTGTCCGTTTAAACAAATTATTTTCACGCTCAAGTTTTCTTTCGACGACGATACGCCGCCCAAAGGAACACGCGCATCGATAACGATGTACGCACAGCACGAACCGCTGCGTGGCGATACGCAACGCATGACTCTGATATCGGTCGGGGTCATCTTTCGGACCGAACCGACGATTCATTCATAACCGGGAAACTTGTGCGATACTGCCTTTACGTCGCTCCGCTTATCGTCTCAAATATGAGAATAAATAAAATACCATCGAAGAAGTGTTATTTTACAGTGAGGTTTGTGCGATCGAGATGTCGAATGATTGATTTACACGAATTCCTTTCTCTAAGCAGTAGTTTGTTTATACGTATGATCCCACAGTGTGTCAAAATAATTTCTATATCAATTATATCTTGCTTCATTTAAATGAACAAATAGTTAATCGAAATCGATAAGTTACAAACATTATCATTCTAAATAATCTATTTAAACTCTCCAACAAAGAAGTGATCGCTTCTCTTTCCATTTAAATTCGTTAATAATAAAAATTCATTCAAACGATGCCCAACTATCATCCTTCGATTTATGTAGTTCCGCCATTACGGTACACCAGAGTCCGTAATTGATCACCCGAAAGTATCAACGTCCGAGAAACGGAGATTGAAATTCACCCTGTCCGTATTTCTTAATTATCACACGACTGAAAAGAAAACGCCGACACGGTCCATTCATTCCACGGATTGTGTTAATGGGCTCCCCGACACTCGTGATCTCAACTCCGAACGTTCAACGCCATGACGTCCTTTGAATGCCGTAGAATTCAGGGCCTGACGCGATCCCTCGTTCGACGTAAAAGTCGACTTGGCTCGAATCGTTCGACTAATCGCTAACGGCCTGCCATCTATTTTCGCGCTAGCGATGGCGATACACACGAAAAGAGACGCGCAGAAAGCGCCCACACCACTGGAAAAATAGCAAACGGCAGACTTTCGCGTTTGCTTTTTCTATGGCCAGCGAAACTACTTCCACGAATTGCGGCGCAAAACGTGCATGTATGTCAAACGACGATCCTTGACTAACAGAATCGGAAATAACTATTTACGAGCACGTGTCGATTCACGTGCACCTCCTTACCTATGATAATAATCATAAACGCGGCTATTCCCCACTGCAGTCCTTTGCGTCAGATCGTACGAACGCGTACAGGATGCTCCAAAATTCATGTAACAATTTCGAAGCTGAAGAATAACTTTTCACGCGAATAACGGACAACCGATAAATTCCAAGAATAGAGAATGTATAAACAAATTTTTATTGTGCAATCGCATTCGCCTATTATTGAACGTAACAGTGGAGAAATATAACGGATTTTCTGTGAATTAAAACATTTGTTTAAATTAGACTAAGTTTCCTCACAATTTTTCATTAGAAATTTATTAAAGTATTAAAAACGAGAAAATTCGATACGCACTAAATATTAGGAGAGTATCACGGCAACACAACTAGCTTCACTACTTTTTCGTGAGAAATCACCTACTTTGCCACGTAATTTCTGAAGCGATGCGCGAAACGAGCAGTGTATTTTCGCGAAAGAACAAAAAACGGAGCATAATAAGGGAAAGGCTGAAGCTGAGAAAACCAACGATTGCGATTGGCATATTTTTTTTTATAAATAAGGTTTTACTGTAATTCGATCAAGTTCTAGAGAAATGAAATCAACGTTATACCGTTTGATGTACGTCATCGGTAGATATCGTGTTCGTGTTCCAAAGTCAAAAGCGGTAAAGAAAGCGAGTTCGAGACAAGTTCAGGAGGCGAAGACGAAGCGGGGGAAAGCGGGAAGTTGGAATGGAATGCGCGGCGCCTAGGGCTCGTTGAATTCCAGGGCCACACGTGCCCTTCCCCCTCGCCTCGGGCACCCACCACTGCCAATAAACTTCGCCTGCGGCTGGCACTCGCGACCAACCACCATAGAACTCATTCATGGGGACCTCCTAACTCGCGACGAGTCTGTAACTCGTGCTGGTGCCTCGTGACTTCGCACTGCTGCCATCTAGCAGAACATGGACTTACCATGAACTTAAACCATGTCGCGTCTCCGAAAATAACAACTTTTGCGTTTTCTTTCTTCCGCGAAAGACAGAAGAAAACTGGGAAATTTCTTTTGTTTTTATCTCCACGCAGACTACGAAAGTAGTCAAACCGGTAGAGAATTTCGCAATCAAGATCGAGTTATATTTAACGATTAACGAATTCAACAAGAATGCATTCAGTCGAGACAAAGCGTTCTCGCGGTCATCGAAGCGATCGTTTTAACCGTTTAATGATAACTGAAATCCGTTACCCCGTTAACATTGCATTTAACCTATCTGGCACTCGTAATGAATTGAATAGGCACGATTGATCCAAGTGAGCAATTTCAGTTTGCACGCATTAAAGTCTTGATCGAAATACCGCTGTGGCGTAGCTATTGCAAATTGCAATCAATACCGCGAGAATCGCGCTATGGAAACGGCTCGTTTCGAAGGTGTTAAGAAAACATTTACTTCTTTCTAAACGTAATTAAATAATTAATATGTTAAAAATATTTTAACAAAATAGACTATTTTGTACTTATGTTTCCCAAAATGCAATTATTTTTTGCGTTTCACAACTAGTGGCAAACATTTTCTCAAGCAGAACGTTTCTACGCAGGTCGTTTTTAAAAGTAACTTAAGCCTATCGCTTACCGTGCATTTTCAAAAGTTGCTGATTCGCTACTCCCCACTGCAGCAAACCCGACTCCAACAGCAAGACCCTCTGGAATATTGTGCACCTACGTACATCGTAAATATTACACATATGCGTGCAAAACTCGTCAAGTTATTTGATTAAAATATACATACTGTTATAGCAACAACGAGTAATAAGACTCTTCTCCACTGGTTGTTTTTACGGTCGTTGTGAAGGTCTTCGTAAAGTGCTCCAAGTTCTCCTTCTTCTGCTGGTCTATGTATGTTTGCAATATGACGTCTTCTTGTATTTTGCTCGTTGAAACCTGAAAAGTATTATATTACTAGAAATATTATAGTACGGTATCAGCCATTGTTTCTAAAACTAATCATGCTTTTTCCCCTTTTCTTCTTTTAAAACAAAGGGTAATGAAGCTTATTCCATCTCAAATCCGACATCTTCTTTTACAATTTTTGCACATGAATCTGCAGGCAGGATTAATAAGATCAGTTTTCAAGAAATTATGGAACTTTATAAACACAAACCAAACACTAAACGTATTCTAATATTTCTTATTAATTTTGTTAAATGTGTTATAATAATCAGTTATTTACATTTCCTAATTTTGTGCTTGTAAGTTCCACTCGTTATTACCAAGACACTTTCATGCATGTACTAGCATCTTTTGCATATTTGTTAAGCATAAAGCAACTAATATTAACAAAGAAATAAGCAAATTCACACAAAAACAAAAAGTTAGACACAATACACTTCACAAAACACAAGGTGTACTCCAGGAATAAGCAACTGATTCACCAAAAATATGGACATACAGAAATAAAAATACTTTTGTTCTATAGAAACAATAAATAATATAATTCTCAATGGTTTCAAACTGCTTATTCCTGAACAGGCTAATCATTGTTTTCATATAAAAAGCAAAGAGGGACAAGTGAATGCTGACATTTGCATATACAAAATAATATACGTGTGTATCGTGAACTGATCCCATTTTCCAAGCCTACAGAGAGAATTGGGTGTTACTAGAAAAAAATGAGATACCATCGATGGTTGTCGACTCAATTCGAGTATTTAGTTTTCCATCGGAAATCTGTATGTTGTTATACGGATCATAATCGTCTAAATCCTCGTCACTTTTTAGTTTTGCAAGGATCTTGCATCTTTGTTTCGTACCGACTGACTGCATAGCTAAAAGCACATTGGGGGACTGAATGCCAAGGGAAGATATCAACAAGTCCGTTCCATAAACAAAGGCTGCGCCAATGAGAAATCCAGCTCCAACTGGTACAAACGCGTATTCGCCTTCCGTTCCATAAAGCTTGCTCAGTGTCGCCATTTCGATAGCAGGTGATAATAGCGACCAATAACTTGCCGCTACCATCACGCCGGCCGCGAATCCCAAGCTGACATCCAAAAGCTTGCGCTGCAACAAAATGCGTCAACATTTTTTTTTAAATCGTCTTTTTCCACGAATACTTCATTTCTATGTTCAATGATAGTCAAAAACGAGAGAACACCCGAAATTTATAGGCAAGAAATTTTGGTTATGTTTACTGTAATCAATTAGAATTAATTTATTGTTTTCGATTCTGATTGGATTATCAGTTTTTGAATATAACGAAACTTCTAGTAAAATTAAATACTTGTAACACTTTGACACTAACAAATAAACTATGTATATCCAACAAAGTGATGTAAAATGAAACATCTCGAAAATTCAAGTATCGCGTTTGTACAACTTTCTTCTGTCACGATATAAAAAAGATGGCGTTTAGTAAGTGTTCATACTAACTATGTAATATGAGAGAAGTATACACTTACATTTTTAAACTTTGATGATCAATGTAATAGTAGAAACAAGCGTTTATTTGTCTACGTTTCAAATTTTCTTTCATGCTCTATACAATGGAAATAGCTATTCCGTAAAATTTCGTACATTTTAAAACACGCGCCAAGAAACACGGAACTCGCGCGATATCGAATCAACAACGACGAATATTGCAATTCGATTTGTCAGTTTCTAAGTGATTAGAAATTAATTTGAAAGAGAAAACAAATAATTTTCATGATAATTTCCGATTCATTTTTTAAGTAGACATAGGATGAGAAAGTTGATTTTGTTAGATAAAAATGTCTATTTGAGATAATTCATTGCCACACGATATTTACAGAGCTATTTACACATTACTATTAATTGTCTAACATATGAAGCACGCGGCAAAAAACAATCGTCTACCGTACGACAATAAGACGCATACGTCAGTTAAAGTGTTAATAAGCAATTAATCTTATCAAATGAAGCTCAAATAAGGAACAAGTACTGTAAATTTTACTTTTCATAAAATTAAGGAATGCAAACATTATACAAAAGATAACGATCAAATTCACGATCGTATTTTATATATCGAAAATTACAAATACCATTAATCGTAATTTTTATAAGTATTACGTTTTCTCAAGATTACTTTATGTAAAACTTTCATCTAGTATCAGTTACAGGTGATACGAAGTACAAATAAATTACTATCGTAAAACTGATAATCGCAGTTACGATTAAAGCGTACTTGTGAATCGAAGAGTGATATATTACTTACGATTTCAAATTTTCTTATAGATAAAAGGAAATAAGTATTACTTCTTGATCATAATACACAGACTACAAATACATCTGTTATTTTTTGTAACAGAAAGATGTACAATAGAATACAATTCCACGGTTTAAACATATAAATGTCATGGCCAGTAAGCAATCTCTTCCGAGGTCACGATTTTCGAGATTTCAACTAACAATAAGTGCCTTTATATAAAATCTATATTTACATTGAATGATCATTGACTCCAACGATACGTAGAACATTACGTCACAAACAAAATTTTCTTTTAAATATTCCAAGTATCACGATAACCATTCCATCGTGAAACACGACGTTACTGACTAACAATTGAGATAGATACATTTTGAAAGAAGGGCTGCTCCCGCAGTAGAAGTACAACAGAGTCAGGTAAGGTTAGAATATACTATGTAAGAAATATTTCGAACCAAATACTCTTATTTCCGATGAAACATCGATAGATATGCGGTGGAGAATGAACGTGTCGCGACTGTATCGCATTTTCAAATTAAAGGAAGTAACAGAAGAAAGAAAAACTTACTTGTTTTCCTCGTATAACAAGAACGAGTGCGGCACCCGCTGCGGTGAGTGCCCACGTAAATAACGTTCCCAAAAGCGCCTGCGTAATATGCGAATAATCCTTTAACATTATACTAATCGTGAAGTACTCGACGTTTTAAACTATACAGCTCATCTTCTGAAACGTGAACAGTGGATAAGAAACTGTTTCATAGAACAGAAAATGCCGCTTGATCTCGCTGATGTGCACTCAGTCCCCCGTACTTATCTCAACCGCCGCCACCACCACCACCACCACGAGCACTACCTTCACTACTTTTACCCTTCTCCTCGACGACAAGCTTCTAGTTATCGCACGACTGAAACGCTAGATGGTGTTATTTAAGATTTATAATGCCACAGACGACGTACGAAGTAGAGGGGACATTCAATGGAATTTTCTGGCCCACGGCCCCGGATTCGGAACGGAAGTCACAAAGATTATCCATTTCACCACTGAATTGTACTAATACTAATAGTATTAGCACAGTTCAGTGCATTCCACCTACATTGTTTAATGATGGGAAGAGCCGATGATCCATATGCTAATACAAGATCCGTGCATACATGTACATAGCTGCCTTTCATTCGCTCTCTCAAGATATTCTTGTACAAAATATTGAATTCTGTAAAAAATCGATTTCCAAATGTAAATGACTTTTAATTGTTGTTTTTGTATTTATATTCACGACATTATGAAGAAAAAAGTGAATAAATAAATATTGAATACTAAATTAGTTACTCTTACATGTTTATTCAATGCTAATGAATTTAAAAATAGTAAATCTTGCAAATGAATGAACTTTGGCTGCAAAGAAATTATTTAATCGATTTTTTTTTAATTTTATAATTGATAATTCTACTTTATACGATAGTTTCTGCTGACAAAGGCTTGACTATGTACTGATATGAACATGTGTTGCTTTGATGTAATATAATCGTTGATAAAATATACCGTCAGCCATCCCCAAACCATTGCAACGATAAAACACGTTTGTTTTTATGTTATATCTTGTCTGTAGGTTCATAAATTATGTATAATACATCTTACAATACCATGAACCTGAATGATAATAAGAAAACTGTGATGCCCGAGTACAAGGGTCTTTAAAAGACCAAATATACATTTAATAAATGTGAATTAACATTATGTCAACGTTAAACAAAATTTCCCGGTGGAAATTTGTTTTACTGCTGGAAAGAATGCATCATAAATTTCTGAGAGTAGGTCAACCTTTATTTATCCTTGACCATAATTATGAACCATTACTAGAAACGCTTAATATAGTACCGTTGCAAGATCGTAAAATTACCGAAGACCTTGCATTTTTGTTCAAAAGTATAAATGGATACGTTACGCATATTCCCTTATTAAAATTAAGTATTTCGTATACTACCTACATCGATTAAATATAAACCAGGTTGTCCGTGGCATAAAATCAAGGTCAAATTAAGGGTTTGTAAGGTACGAAAGTAGAAAACGAATGGAATTCTTTTTATGTCAAGAATCATTGTACCCAACAACGAAAATAAATACATTTTTAATAATAATAATAATAATATAATTATTTCTTTCTTTTTTCTTCTTTTGATAATAAGTAAAATTAGCACTAGTTGCCTTCGAATAAAAAATGAAAAAAAAAACGCGAAATTAACTTAACCTTTTTCACGATGCTGATTGAATTTACAATCAAAAGTGTATTAATATTAAATAAAGACATCAAACAAAAATGCAAGATAGTAGTAATAACTATTAAAAACAAGTAGTTTTCTCGAAACTTATTAATTAGTTACAAGTGGTTACAAGAGTAGTTTGGTTCGTTCACTGCTAGATGGCTATACGTTTCACTGCCCATGTTGTTTGTAAACAGATCAGCTCAAGGATTGTATCTACTATTATTTATTAAATATGTATCACTGCGTTGTGAAAGTAAATTGTAACGCACGTAAACACGACCCAAAAAATTAAAACAATTCGATGTCGCATTTTTAACGTTAAAAGATTCGTTTTTACAATAGGTGTACTTAATGTCGTAAATAGTCATTCTACTTTTATGTTTACGTAAATTGTTAACATTGAATAGATTGGTATGTACAATGCCTTTGTTTTCAAATAAATTCTCTCCCAAGAAGACGCCTACAAGAAAGGCAGGAGTATTTTTAGCAAACAAAGATTTGAGTCCAAAGCGAATTGAAAAAGAACTTGGACCCAATGTTGGTCCTATACGTTTGAAATTGGGGGATCAGGAAGCTGTTTTTGAGTCTGGTTTATGGATTCCAGGTAAAATATTAGAATAGAATTCAAGTATAATATCAATCTCTCACATAAGTTCATGTAGAAAATTTATACTATTTCTAGAATCTGGTACCATTGGAGGAACTTTCAAAGAAAATGAAAAATTAAAAAAAGAAGTAAAGAAATTAGAAGAAGAAAACAACTTGTTGAAGCTAAAATTTGAAGTACTTCTTGATATGGTTATTAACTATTCTTTTAATATTAAATATAAGATATTTGTAATATACCTGATATTGTTCATATTTAATGTTAATTAATCTTGTACTCTACAGTTGACACAAACAACGGCAGACTTTCATTCACAAAAAGAAGAGTTAGATAGATTAAAAAGAAATTCAATGTATAATAAGGGCAGTGAATCTTGATATAGACATATTAATTCACATTTATAATATAAAATTTTCATATGTAGGATTGAATGTGTATTCATACATTTAAAATATTGCTTTAATTATCCTACCATTAACAAATAAATGCATAAAATAACACAGATATATTTACTTGTACATATTATAATATTGATGTAAGGCACATAGTAAACTTTGAAACCGATATTAATTTATCATACAAAAGTACCAAAAGTAATTAATTGTGTTTTTATCACCATCTTTAGTATTTATAATTTTACGGATACAATCCGTTTCTCCTGTCATTAATCCATTACATTTTCTGGACAATTTTTTCTCGTATGTCCTAAGAGAAAAATGAACAGCTTAACATAAGTGAACATTCTTACACGAAAATATGCAAATACGATACAAACCTTCTATCCCACAAATTCCGCATTTTCTCTTACCACCCGTAGTCCGAGGCTTTCTTTGTGTATTTGCATGTTTTCTGTTTCCTGCTTCTCTAGATGTATTGCTATTTCCGCCCCTGAATGTTTCATTATGATTTGAAACATTCTCATCTGCCCATTGAAAGAACTTGCATGACTCATTCATAGGTTTTGGACACGAATAAAATAAGCGCCCTTTATTAGGACCATCCTTCACAACAGTCCGTCTAAGTGTGCAAAAAATTGGTTTTGATACATTATGGGAAGTAGAAGAAGTTGATCAAATATTTACTCACTCTTTTGCTAATTGATTGCAGTGACAATTCACATTAGTCAACGATGTAGATGTTTCAGCGCGTCCCCATGTACTAGAAGTAGAAACAGAAGTGCTTGGCCAGTTACTTGTACTTGCAACATTTGGTGTATGATTTGGATTTCTATTTCTATTGTTTTGCATTTCCTGCCCATTATCTGACGCCCAAAGAAAGAAATCGCAACCTGTGCCTTGAGGTTTGGCACATTTATAAAATAGTCTTCCTACAATTACAAACAATAATAAAATGAAATAATAGTTAAAAAAAACATTTAGCACAAGTATTCAAAAAATGTATACCTTGATTCGGTCCTTCTTTTCTTACTGTTAACTGAATTGCGTTTTCATTACATTTACACATGATAACAGCATCATTATCAATAGCACCCCATGTTTTACTGTCTTCTATACTGGGTAATCTTGAATCAGTGTTTGAAGAAGTAAAAGTATTAGTATCAATCCATGTATCGTCAATCGTTCGAGTATTTCGTTTTTTAGTATTTGTATTATTATTTCTTGATCTACTTGTGTTATTACGATTACTATTCTGATTTCGAACGAGTTCTACAGATGTGTTATTTTTAGGTAAATTTGACCTATTTTTAACTCGAGGTTGACGGGTTTCATTGTTTCGTACTGGAGGTGGATTTGAAAGGATTGTTGATCTTGATCCATCGAACATACTGTCATAACCGGTGTCGTTTATTCGATTAATAATTTTAACACTTTCGTCCTTTATATTTAACAATTCGTTAAACGAAGGATCGCATCCACCTATGCAGGTTGTATAAGTAGTACCATAAATTGGAAAAGCATTTTTAGATAATTTCAATTGCAATTTATGCATATTTCCTGGACACTACAATTAAAAATATTAATTATAAATTATCTAAATTACAAATAAGACATACATTATACTTACATGCGAACAAACTTCATTCAAAACTTCAACAGATTCAACAGTTGGAGGAAACCAGATTGCATTATTACATGTTGGAAAGCACATACAACCAATATACTTTCCTGGGCCTTGCCTTCTGTCTTTAAGTACCATATTTGATTTGCACTTTGGACATTTGAAGACAGGAATTTCTTCAGGTGGATTACTAACTTGTATTTCTCCTGTTTCAATAGGTCGTTCATTGAGATAATCCGCTAAAGCATTATCGATTAAATTGGCACGTTCCAATGTCATTTTAAACACGTCGCGATATTTATTTATTTGAGTTTGTAATACTTCTTTTGGATCTTTTTGTCGATCGCATATCCTGAACGTAAAAATATAAAGTTACCATTGTTTGATCACTTTTTACATTATTAAAAAGATAGTGGGAATAACGTACAATTTAAGATCTCTTTCTAACTCTGCTCTTAAGTTTGGTTTTGACATTTTAAATCCCATATTATCGTAACCCATAACTAGTCCAATCCCAAGTTTCCCAGGCATTAAATGCTTTCCATCTGTTAACCCTACATATTGACGTGACTTTATTGTATCAATATGTTCTGCGTGTGTGGCATCAGTACCAATACCAAATTTATCCATCAAACTAATCAAATCTGCTTCAGTTAATAATTGTGGTGGTGATGTTTCCTCTTGTATCATATCTATACTAGTTGGTTTAAAAACCTGTCTTTCTTGATATACATGAATTGCTTTGTCGCTCCATTTTTCATATATGTATACATTTAAGTAATTTCTTTCAATGATTTGTAACCCGTTAGCAATAAATTTCTCACCAGCAATATCAATCTCTACTGTAGTTTCTTGTCCTAATGCATTATTTGAAACACAGGCCAAAAAGTGTCGAACCACAAATTCATAAACTTTAGCATCATTACCTGTTATTCAATAATTAGTCATAATAAAACAGAGAAATGCTTGGACTATGATAAATTGAATAATTGTATAATACACGTGCCTACCTTGTAAATTATCGGCATATTTTATTGGATGTATAGGAGGATGTGCTTGATCACTTTTCTTTCCTTGTCTAGGATTCAACCCAGCTGTTAATAATTGTTGTGCAAAATTACCCCATGCTGGATCATTTACTTGCTGATTTACCAAAGGAACAAGATTTAATTCTTTAGGAAATATATTTGTCTCTGTGCGCGGATAACTGATGAGACCTTGAGTATACAATTTTTCAGCAATTTTCATAGTTTCCTTTGCGCTTAAATGAAGTTTACGAGAACCTTGTTTTTCCAATTCCTAAAATAATTTAATTAAATATCAAGTATTTGCTTATACTTTACTCTGTTTATTTGAACTAATAGTGTACTACTTACAACTGTGTCCAAAGGTAGAGGCCTCCATTTACTCTTAGGTTTGCTTGTAATTTTCTGTACTTTGGCATCAGGCTGTTCTAAGCATGTATCTAACAGAACCTCACAAGGCAATTTTTCAAATAACCTTCCTCTTATCCACCTAAACTCCACAGAGAGTTGATCACGAACATCCATTACTCTTATTTTCCAATATGGTTCTGGCTTAAATCTTTCTATAGCTAGAAATCGTTCTACTACAAATCCTAGTGTAGGAAATTGACAACTACCATAACTGATGAGCATGTCAGCAAGAGATGTGGGAAATACTTTTTGGAGTCTCATTGTTTGAAATCTTGTAAATGCAGCACCTATAAACGATATTTTTTTTACATGTAATTTTACAAATGAATCAGTTCTATTTGTGCATTATTATTATATACCTATCCTTAAATCTAGTTCACTTCGTACATCAACAGCATCACTAACTGCTTTGTCTGGTTCACACAGATTTTGAAGAGCTCTATCTACAGATGCCTGTGTAATTTCTGAAAATTTTGCCCTATAGAAAAATAGTTTCATTAATATACAAAGCAAAGTTTAATTATATATGCACTTAAATTATTACCTATATACACGAATGTTGGGTTTAACTGCTAAGCAGACTTGAATAATTTCAAATCCAATATTTTCTCCTTCACGATCACAATCTGTCCAAATAATTAATGCACCACATTTTTTTACTTCTCTTTCTAAAGTTTGTTTAATCTTAATATAGCTTTCTTCTGAACATTGTTTTACTACAGGTGCATCGAATAAACTTAATGGATGACAAGCTTGCCATTTACGATATGCTCCTACAAATTCATTGTTTAATAAATGACCAGACACAGAGGTCATAATCATATCGCAATTTTGATTCCATAAATAGGACTTGAATTCATAAATCTTATTGTACGGAGACAATCCTTCTCTCTGCAACAAAACAAAAAAGTTAGTAATCGTTTTATAACAATACTTCGTTGTTTCAATTGTAATCAATGTTAATTACCCGCTTATTAGTGCCACGAGATAAATGGCTCGCAATGTTTTTGGCAGCATCATTTTTTTCCGCCACATTAAGGATTTTCATAACCTTCAAAGAACTGTTGAGTCTTGCAAAAAAAATATACTGTGCCGGTTTATGTGTACTTAATGTCACAATATTAAACAACTTAATGAAACGAATCAACATTATACAAAATATAACATAATTATAATTTAATTAATTAATACAGCGTAATTAACATTTTGCTGAAATGTCATTATGTTAAACGAGAACATATATGTATATACATACATACATTTTCATTGCTAGTACACTTTAATATCACATTTTCTCAGATCGTTAATCAATATTACTTTGCATCTTTAAGTATATTTCAAATTCAACTTACTCAATAAAATAAACTTTTCAGTTGCCGCCGTTTACATTGCCTGGCTACTTCTGTTCTGTTATGTATATTCAGGCAATGCCTGAAACATGTCATGGTAATATCCCTATTGAAAGAAAATTATCTACGATTTAATCATTGTTCTTAACGACAGTATATTATTTGTGCAAGTTTTCCTTTAACATTAAATGTTCTTCTAAGTGTCTAAAAATATTGTAGTCGCATTCTCAACGGGGAACAGTAACTTTTTCATTGCAAATGTTGCAAGTGTGTCAACACAAGAAAGAAAGAGCTAGAAGTAGCAGTAGACATTTTCAATATTTTGCCCGATAGTTTTGGATCGCGTGCGTCTTTATCAAAGCACACGTAAGTAGACAATATTATATTGTAAATACCTTTGATCCTTCTGGAGAATAGTGTATTCCTTGTCACGTAAATATAATAAATATTTATTAGGCAATAAGACTTCCTTCGATTTACAACACAATCTATTTTTCTCCATTGTAATCATTATATTTCGTTATAGTTAATAACATTTCGTGTTTGGTAATTTTAAGATTATATTATTTATAGATTCACATCTTCTGATTGCTTTCATTTTGTTCGTTTATATTTTTTTATACACAATTATTAACATTCATCATACGATATTTGATTTTTTATTGCATATGCAAATACATCTGAAACACGCATTATATTCTGCACTTGTCATTTAATAATATTTAATCATTCTGGTTTCAGCAACATTCTTATTGTGATCAATTATTTCAAAACAAACCAAACATGACGGAGGACATGTTAGGTGCAGATATTTGTAGGGTCTGTCGGTCTGAAGGCCTAGCAGATAGACCTTTGTTTCACCCATGCATTTGCACGGGCAGCATTAAATGGATACATCAAGAATGTCTAGTACAATGGATGCGTTATTCACGCAAAGAATACTGTGAACTTTGTGGATATCGTTTTTCGTTTACTCCAATCTATAGTCCAGACATGCCACGTCGTTTACCATTAAGAGATGTTATCGATGGATTATTGTCCAGTGTTGTAACAGCAGTCAAATATTGGCTGCACTATTCTTTGGTAGCAATCGCGTGGCTTTGTATTGTTCCATTAACTGCCTGTCGAACGTATAGAGCTTTATTTAGTGGACCCCTTGACCTAGTTCGAGTAAGTATTTTGCATAATTAAAACATATATTATAATTTTAACATGTCATAGCAAAACTGGTATATTATATTTTGTTTATAGATAATGTCATTACCAATGGATATACTATCTGCAGAAAATGTATCTTCGGATGTATTTCATGGTTGTTTTGTTGTTACTTGCACACTATTTGCATTTATTGGTTTGGTATGGTTAAGGGAACAAATTTTACATGCTGGTGGTCCTGATTGGCTCGAAAGAAACAATATACAGTTACCCCCTGTTGATAATCCAGCACACGTAGAAGTTCCTGCAATGCGGCTTCATGAACTAAGAGTCATTATTCAGCAAGGGTTTCACAATAATAATAATGTTCCACCTTTTGTCGACGAACCACCTGTTCCAGCTGAAAATCCAAACAATGATGATCCAGGAAATGCAGAAGGACATAGAGTAGAAGAAAATAATTTAGTAGATAATCAGAGGATAGGTGAAGCTGAAGAGATTGGTAGATATATTGAACCACAAATAGTCCCCAGAAATGGAGAACAACAGATAGAACAACTTCCTAGAGATATGGAACCGCCTGTAGCTCCCAGAGATGTAGAGCCACTAATACCCCCTAGAGACATGGAAGCAGCTGTGCCTCCTAGAGATGTCGAACAACCAATACCTCCTAGAGACGAGCTTATAGTGGGCGGTGAACAAGCAAATGCAAGAGCTGGTGAAGGTTGGAGAGATCAAGTACAAGGTCAAGCACAAGGTGAAGCTGAAGAGGCAAACTGGAATCCAATGGAATGGGACAGACCTGCAGAGGAATTAACTTGGGAACGTCTTTTAGGCTTAGATGGTTCTCTCGTTTTCCTTGAACATGTATTCTGGGTTGTTTCGCTAAATACCCTCTTTATTATGGTATCTATTTGTATATTTTAGATTGAACAAAATATTAAATAATTAATTTCTTCGTATTTCTATGATTCAAAATGTTATTCTTTTTCTTTCAGGTTTTTGCATTTTGTCCATACCATATTGGTAGCTTCGCGATAGCAGGATTAGGATTACAAGAGTATGTAGCAGCATCACATTTTGAAGGATTAGTAACTACACTGTGTGGTTACTGCGTCATTGGAGTTTGTTTGGTAGTCCTTCATACACTCGTGGCTCTTTTAGGTTTCCAACGCTCTCAGCGTATATTAGGCTTGTGTTACGTTATAGTAAAAGTTTCTTTACTATCTGTCGTTGAGATAGGTGTACTTCCTTTGGTCTGTGGGTGGTGGATAGATATTTGCTCGTTAGCAATGTTCGATGCTACACTTAGAGATAGAGAATCTTTGTTTAGTCTAGCTCCTGGCACTTCAATGTTTATTCATTGGTTGGTTGGAATGGTTTATATATATTATTTTGCTTCGTTTATTCTGTTATTACGAGAACTATTACGGCCAGGAGTATTGTGGTTTTTGAGAAACTTAAACGATCCCGATTTTTCTCCTATCCAAGAGATGATACATCTTCCAATTTTAAGACACGTAAGAAGACTAGTGGCATCTGCAGTAATATTTGGGACAGCTATTTTGTTAATGTTATGGTTGCCAGTGAAACTTTTAAGATGGGCATGGCCAGGATTTTTGCCATACACAGTGATGGTTCAAAGTGAAGCTCATGTAAGAAATTAAAACAATATTTTTCTTCTGATAATATTACGATCATTATTTAATTGTTTACTCTGTTTTTAAATTAGCCCAGCGAATTATCTTTGGAATTATTATTATTACAAGTAATTCTTCCTGCATTATTGGAGCAATCTCATACACGCACATGGTTGAAAGCTCTGATAAGAGGCTGGTGTCAAGTAGTGGCCTGGATGTTAGATCTTCAATCGTATCTCCTAAGAGATCAAACCGAAGATCCAGGACCAGCAGTAATCGAAGAACCGCAACACCCAGATTTAGGTGCTGCCCATCAGGCACTACTACATAGAGAAGGACCAACAGGTTTCCAACCGTATATTAGACCACGTTGGTTCCCTGCTCGGCTAGTTGGTCTTTTGTTCTGTGTATGTATTTCACTTGTTATTGCCAGTTTAATTGCAATAACTCTCCCTGTTTGGCTTGGACGTAGAGTAATGGCATTGTGGATGGTCGGAGCTCCAGCTCCGTCTCCGCCGGTATTACTACCTACTTTCAGCGGGTCCGGTAAGTTTGTTTTCTACATAGAATCTCAATATTTCCTTTCTTTTTCTTTTTAACAATCATGTGCCTTTGTTCATTTTTCAGAAACGAATGAAGCCGTAGTTGCTTTGTCTGGACGAGTACACGAGGTGTATACGATAGCTTGTGGAACGTATGTATGTTTGGCCGCGGGAAGGGGATTAGCGTTAGCGTTCTCGTGGCTACCTCGAGGACGAAGGGCGGTCTTAGATAGAGTAAAACACTGGGCAATAATAGGCGTTAAGGCATCAGTTGCATTTTTCCTACTTCTTGGCCTAATACCGCTCTTGTTTGGTCTTCTTCTTGAATTAGTCGTCGTAGTACCTTTACGTGTACCATTAGAACAGAATCCTATATTGTTCATTTGGCAAGATTGGGCTCTCGGTGTATTATACACAAAAATAGCGACAGCTATCACGATGATGGGACCGGATTGGAGAATTCGTATGGCCATTGAAAGAGCATACAACGACGGCATTAGGGAAATTGATTTGAAATTCATCATTACAGAATTGGCAGCACCGGTAATATGTTGCTTCGGTCTTGCTTTAGCCGTTCCCTATGCAGTGGCCTACGGAATAGTCCCACTTGTGATTACGCATTTAGAAATACAAATTCTTATTGCCAGACATTTGTATCCTTTCCTTGTGCTAGTGAACTTGCTGTATATTGCTATTTATTTTCAAATTCGCCAATTCAAAAAACTTTACGAACATATAAAGAATGACAAATATCTCGTGGGACAAAGACTAGTGAACTATGAACATCGGAATAAATCTCAGTCACAAGCATCAGACTAACGCTGTGTTAGTATAATTGTTTCTCAATGGTGATATCAAATTAATGAAAAATTTCTTTAATATATATTCATTATCGCGCTTAATAATAACAGACATTATCATATATTGATTATGCTTTAATTTTTACTATAACTTATTAATGTGAGCGATACTGAATAAATTAAAAAGACTGTCGTTCAATGCATCGCCTTTCCCGTTTGATACATTGCATATGATTGATATTTTTTATCTAATTTGCAAAAACAAAATGTTTCCAAGTAATAATGAACATCTTGCGCGATAACGGGCGGATATGATTTAGGAAATCTCAAACTCAACGTTATTCGTTCATTGTCGATCAAATTAATCATTTTTTAAGTAAGTCATAAATTGAAATTTTCAACTTTATAGATACAATGTATAAAGCTTAATTAGACTCTAATCGACTCCTTAGAAGAATAGATTTCCTGATAAGAACTATTGTGAAAGTAAATCTACATTTTAATTGAAAACTTGTTAGTAACAAATTAACGTAATCGTATTTTGTTGTACAAAATTAAGATATAAAATCGATTTAAATGAAAATAGAAAATATCTATACTTTCATTATAATAAAGAAATACGTATTTCCTGAAAATCCTCCCATTGTTTTTTGTTTATAAATCACAAAATACTATTTACCATTGGACGTTAAATGTTCGTTATAATTTCCAGTCGTACGAAATTTACGTCATAGATAGCCGCATATTAATATGAACATAGTACATTTTTAAAAAATTACAAAATTTTTAAACTCATTATGTGAAATCATTTTTATATAAAAATACAATTATCAACAAATAGTTGGAGTTAATTAGTCCGTATATATTCAAAATATATATTTTGGGTATGGTATGCATAATTTTATGTACAAAGTTAGATATAAGTAAGAACTATTTATTTGTATACATACCAATCGTTCAAAGATTAACAAAATTATATGATCATTGAAAATGTAAAGACGTTTTCGCGATGTACTTTAAAACATTATCGAAATAAAGAAAATCCTTGCAAAAAAATTTATTTTTAATCTGTTAGATATTTTGATTCCACTAAAATATGCATATATTCGAAATAGATCTAAATAACTTCTTGTTAAAAGAATACATAAAAAAGGTAATATACATTTAATATTCACAGTCCAAATTGTCATTTTATATAAATGTTTATAGAAATAAAAATATGTTTACAATGATTTTTTATAATCTATTAGATGCTTTGATTCTTTTAAAATATATTTACAAAATTAATGGACATTGCTTCCAGTCCAATGATCACATACGTCAAAACAATGATTTAAGAAAAAATTACTAATAAAATAATATATATCTTGTCTATAAAAATGTCTCGAGTATAGAATTAAAAATATGTTTGCAATAGCTTTTCCAAATATAATGTACAACATAAACATGTTGTTATTATTATAATTTTGCTTCTTGATTTGGTGGTAAAAGAACACCTGTAAGCTTTAATAATGTAGGATCTGTTTCAATCCTCAAATATAATAAAGTAAAAACAGTGATTACCTGAAAAATATTTAGCATATTAGTAACGCATAAATGAACTGTTTTTATCTATATTATGATGAAATGCGTATGTATTTTTATCTTACTTGAGTAATGGCAGGTTGCTTCCAAGTAATACTTATTGTCGGAACTGAACATTCTGTGGAATACTTAAAACTTTTCAAATTTTCTAATTCCATGAAGTAAACTCGTAATTTTATACCTACTTGGCAGAGTATAACGTCTATACTTTGTTCTTGTACATGTAATACAATACCCATAGTAACATGTGGCCCAGTTAAATTTACTAAATATGCAAAGTACAACTTACTACTCTCTTCTTGAGCTACTTTCGCATTGTACTTTTTTAAATTGCAATTTGCCGCTATACTATAACGATAGAAACAACAAATGTTGAATGAAAGGTTTTAGGTATTGTTACATTCATCGACTATTTCACACTCTTTTTAATTGACGTACTTCATGCATAGCTTTTCTGACCATTGTTCGGGTAGTGCCTCATTTCTTATGGTCGAATAAAGTAATCGATGTACCATACAATCGGCGTATCGTCTAATTGGAGAAGTAAAATGCGTATAAAACGGTACATTTAAAGCGTAATGTTTTAATTCCTCTTCCGTTAGAACAGTGGAAGAACATGTATAGGTTGCCCGCTGAAAATACACAACTTATTCAAATCTTATGCATTAATAAAATCTCGCATACAATAATAATGAGAAAATAAAATGTCATACATTCATAGCTTTGGAACAAAGATTGTTGATAATCATTGTTGTACATTTCATTATAGTTTTAGTTTCGATACAGTCAGATTCCATCAATTCTTGCTCGTAACGTGTAATACTAGTATGTAAAGATGCAGATGATTCAATATTTAAATGAATTCCAAATTTTTGTAAAATGTTTTTGACCGAGTTCAGAAGATATTTCGACGGTTCTCTATGATTACGCAGTAAAGCAGTTTTAGGAATAGTATTATACAAATGAATGGCAACCGTCGTATTAGCTAGTAACATAAACTCTTCTATAAGTCTAAAATATACATACATAAACATTAATTTAAATAATCAGTTTAAAGTACTGACTTGATTATACAGTAATACTAATACCTGTTACTATCTTTTTGTTCTTCTATATAGTAAGATTTTGGTAAATTAGTAATTTTATCAATTATAACATGGAATTTTGGTTGATCTATTCGTAATGCACCGTTTGCAAATCTTTCATTACGCATCTGAATAGCTAAATCGTGTAAAATATTTACTTTTACTGACAAATCATTAGAATTAAAGTTCCCAATTATATTTAAAAAGTCACCAGGCCAATTATTTCCGGGATTTTCAATAAATTTCTGAGCATGTTGATAAGCCATTTGACAACACGATCTAATTACAGTTTTAGCAAAACGATGACTGACGATCTTTGCGTCTGGTGTAATTTCATAAATAACAGAAAATGCCAGCTTATCTTGACCAGGTAGTAAAGAACATACTTGGCATAGCTGTTTTGGTAACATATGATACACATTGTCGGTCATGTAAACAGTTGTTGCTCTTTTTGCGACTAGAATATCTAACAGAGATAAAAATTCTAAATAGTGAGTAACATCAGATATATGTACACCAATCTACAATAAAAAAAAAAGAATATGATGACCTTTTCCTATTACGATTAATCAATTATATATAGAAGACAAACTTATAAACTGAAAAAATTACTTCATAGTTTCCATTGTCCAAAAGTTTACAAGAAACTGCATCATCTAAATCAACAGCAGTATCGGGGTCAATAGTAAACACACATTCATGTCTCCAATCCTCTCTATCTTTTATGTCATTTTCTGTTAATACGTAATCGCTGTCTGGAAGACCTTTTATTACTTCCTGACTATAAGGTGTCACATCTAAATTATGTTCAAGTAATATTGCATTTGACTCTGTGGATATATCACCTGCAGTCCCAACTATCTTTACAATTTTCCTGTAATCATTTGTAGAGAAATATTAGGCTAACATATATTATAGTATACTAATGATCTTTACAGCTTTAAATATTTTAGACTAGTAAATAATTATCATACCCGATTGCAAATAGAGGTTTCACCCAACTAATTATAGCAGCTAAGAATAATTTATTTTGTAAATCATGTGTATTAAACTGTTTCGGTAGTGATTCTGGATATATTCTAAGTAAGGGTACCCGTTTATCTCTAGGATAGAAACATATAGATGAGCCCTGTTGTTTTAAATGCCCAATTGTCAATCTTGGATGTACTTTTTCTCGTATGCAAACAATGAAACCTGTTTTTCGTTGTTGTCCATCTGAATCTATTTGCCAATTTTCCAAAGGATTTATACAAGCTACAACATGGTCTCCATCTAAGGCTCGATTTCGGTCTCTCAAACCAATAATCAATAAATCACGTTTCTCATTGGGTAGAGATAAGTATGCATGCTTATAATACTTAGGATTAATGCGTAGATATCCTTCTACATACTCTACATTTGTTGGAGTTTCATTGTTTAATAGTTTATCAATTTGTTTTATAGGAATATGATCTGGAAATGTTTCCTGTTTTCTTAAAGCTTTTGGAATTTTCTTATCATTGGATTTTATGGAGAACCTCTGTTCTTTTGCTTCATTTTTAACAATTTCATTAGTACACTGTGGCATTACATTATTCTCATTTTTACTAATTTTAGTATCAGGTTTTTTACGCGATTTGCGTCGATTTTTTTTAACAACAGCAGGCAGACTTGCTTCTTCGGACATAATGTCAAATTTTACACAAATTACTGGTTTAAATGTTCACAATATATAACAGATAGTTTACCTTACATAATCGTTATTTTATCGTATTCGCAAATATTATTTGGACATGTCGATAACAAACTACACACTTGGGTAGCGAGCAAAATAAAAAATGTAAATAGGTTATCTTATGATGATTTCACTCGATTTCAACGATAAGGAAGCGATATTACACCAAGTAAACACAAGCAAACTATATATATATATATACCTTCGAATGACTCAATACACTTTAATATTAACAAAAATATAATCCGTTTAACAAAAATAATACTGCTTTCTTTTACTCGATATTACATATCAATATTTACATTTGACACGAACTTAAAGTAAGGTATACTTAAATTCGACAATTTATAGTTTGTGATTTACTTATTCCATTTTTAAGTACTTATTTAATTTATCCGAATTAATAAATTACAGGTATTTACATTTTTTTAATTTAAAAATCATGTTTTAAATGTAACACATACGATCGAGTTCGTTCATCCTTATCGTCTAAGGGGAAAATCACCAACAGCAACTACCCTTTCTACTTACTCGTCAAGACGTTTGGTAGACATTTCATTATTTATTATTGGACCAGCGAATCAAAAAGAGAAGGGGTAGCCAACATTAGTGATTTTCTCCTCGGACGTCAAGAATTAAAGAATCCCAGTTTAGGCAACATTAACGTAACAAAATCTCTACGGAATCGCTAGAGAGAATCTCGAGCTGACAAGAAACTAAAGTGATGTATGTAGACTATATCCACTATATATCGTTAGCAAGCAGGGTGGTGCGAGGTGGTAGGTAGAAGAGTTATATGTATCTAAAACGCAGTGAACAAGCAAGGTTGTTTCGATCGGTATTAAAGGAAGACAGTAGCTCGCGCAGTCTGCCGAGAGACTGAGCTTCGAGAGGAACGGAGTAGAGTCAGCGAGGGAGGAACGAAGGTTTCGAGAGTGTATATAAGTTTCTAAATCGTGCGCGTTAAAGTTGACGAAGGAATCGTAAAATGTTCCACGTAAAAAGATTGACGAGATCGTCGATCGCCTTGAAACAAGTGCCAAACAATAATGACATTGTTCACAATACGTTGATACGTATCGTGCCGGCGTTTCAAGTACGTGGTTACGCCGATCATCAGATTCCTGAACGACTGAAGGATGTCCCCACAGACCCAAACCCAAAGTTCTTCGATATGGTCGAGTACTTTTTTCATCGTGCCTGTCAAATCGTCGAGGACAAACTAGTCGAGGATATCGGCAAACGTTCCAGGGTGACCGTTGAGGAGAGAAAGAAGAAAGTTAAGGGTATTCTGATGCTCATGGAGCCATGTGACCATATTCTTGAAACTTCTTTCCCCCTGAGACGCGACTCTGGCGATTATGAAATGATCACTGGCTACCGCGCACAGCATTCGACCCATCGAACACCTTGCAAAGGAGGTAAATTCACTCACGCCCGTTCGAATATCACCATGATATCGCGCCTAGATAAATTCCGTTTCAACCGTTGCTTGCACGATCAAATCAACCACCAAATTCGTACGTCTATTTAATATATATTTTTGTGTTTCGAGTTACTTCGCTATTTATAACTTCCCATAGAGAAGAGTGAGCGTGATTTCGTAAAATCATGCTTTCTACCGCGCGGTTGCCCCTAGTCACTTGAATTCGATTTAGTGGATACGTCAATTACGTCATCGAATGGCGACATCGCGAGGGACAAAAGATATCTTCAAAACGGACCAAATTTCCGTTGAATCACGCGAACATATCGTCTATCGATTCATAAATATTCATATCTATTTCTCTGTTTAATTTTTGTATTTGCCTTAACTGGTTGACTACTTTTAAGTATTCGCTGTACGTATACAATTAGACTCGCGACACTTGTGTCGACTTTACGGCTTCGTGCATACGTTACGACGCGGTTTTAACCTCGATTCTGGAAGACCAGATTATCGAGAGCATAACTCTGACAAGTAGCGAAATTTTTTCGATCGTTACTTGCGATGTTTTTTTCAGTTAAGCAATCTTCACAGGAGACTGAAAGATAAACAATAATTTCGTTGTTATATGGCGTATCGAGTGTCGGCGGTATAAATTTAACAATAAGAACAAATAAGAAATTGAACTACACCACGATTTTACGTCCTCACAAAAACATTTGTGAAATGATAGTATAGCTAATTTTCTTTTTCCGGACTTATCCAGACAATTTTTCTGGAATTATTCAGACTGGAAAATGATAAAACTAACAAGTAGTAATTGCATTTCAACGAGTCACAATTAAATGAACAAGGATGATAACGCGCAAACATTTACGTTCGGCCTGTATATGAAAACACTATTACCCAGGGAGATTATATTACGCCGATTAAGCACTCACACGTTTATGATATTAAATATGTCGGGCCAATTTAATTTTTTGAACGACACTACGCTAATTAACTGTAAAGGCTATATAGCACGCGAACATTTGCGTTTGTATTTTATTATCGAGCGTTTTAACGGTACTTTCGAAAGACGTGGGCCTCAAACGAAGAATTTCGCTGATTCGAAAACAATGAACGAATGAACCATCGAATCCATTCGATACTTTTTATTTAATTGTGAATAAAATACTTCGCAATGAACTAAGAAAAATTCCATTGTTCGATCGAATAAGTTGCTATGCGTTGGTTTGACATAGCCCTAAGATTCGTTGATAAAGTTATTATTAGTATACACATATCATCTCCTTGATGTAAATTTGTATAAGCTCGTCTTTAGTAATCACATGTGGTATAGAAACGGTAGATCTGTTTCACGAGCCAAGTAAACAGATTCCTTTTGACGACCGTTCCTTGTGATTGCTACATCGTCAATCGATTATCATAATCACTTTGTTTACTGTACAAAATGCATTGTTGATTGTCTTTTGTCTTAGATCTTGACAGGAATATTTAGAAAGCTTTTTATTTTGTCACGCGATGTTTCATAAACATTTTCGATCATGCGACTATTTAAATTTCGCTAATAGTTCACAATTATTCTTATACATACAAGCAATTTTTTCTACACCGTGGACACGTTTACTGGCACGTCCGTCGCCTAATACATTGCGAGAAAGTAGCAACATTTAAGTATGTTTATCGAAGATGATTCACAGGACATATCGTATCGCTTTGCAGTTAAAATAAGGCGATACGAAGACTAACACGTCGATGCCAAGCTGTCTGCCTTTTTCTTCTTCCTTGCCAAGCATTAGCTAATCACATGATTTGCTATTTAATTCTAGAGTTTGGCAATTGCAAGTATCGTGCCAATGTCATGATGCATTAAGGTCAATGCTCTCGGCGTGGCAAACTCACGATTTTCTTATCTAACGAATACATTCGCCAATAACGAATAGAGAGCAAATGATTTCCCAGTCGAGCATTTTATTGTATTCGTTCGTCTAATTTTTTCTTCGATTATGTCTGAAGATAATTTGCATAATTATATCTTGCGCAAATATTTAGCACACCTTCCAGTTGTTACTCAGGAATGCCATTAACGTGTTCGCACGAATACATAAGAACCGGTCGAAGTAACGTCGTACGGCTATTTTGCAACGATAACATTTGCGTAATATCAGCTGGTTTCGTTGATGGCCGATGGTTACGTCTTCTTTCCGCACTGATCGGTTTTCTAGAACAAAAATAGACGCGATGTTCTTACCCACCGCAGACGAAGTCTGTCGATGATGCCTCTAACTTAATATTCAAACTTGAGGTTCGACAATCGTACTCGTACTATTCCATCATTTTACCATTTTTTATCATCTTTTTGCTCGGATAAAATTAATGTCATAGTAGTCACACGTATCATTGTAGCACTTCCGGGACAAAACGGTTGCGTAATTCGTTTAAAAGAAACTGGAATGTTAATTTCAGACTTATTTTTTATTCGTTGAAATTAGCATTAATTACGGAATTCTTCCTATCGCTTAAGTAAGCTTGCTTAGAGACAGTATGATCGACTGATAAATAATAGTAATCCGGGCTTAATCGAGATCACTTTGAGCACGGTTCTTATCAGTTATTTATATTCAACAGGTTTTATAAGTGTTCGTTTCGCAAGCACAAGTGTTCTACTATTTAAGTTCATGTTCAGGGTTATCGTTCTCCGAGCCAGATGCTATCAGAAATATTACAATGTCGTTTAATGCTTCTTTTTCAGGTATTCGTTTCTCGATGGACGTTTCGCGAGATGAGGTGAAGGCTTTGTCCGCGCTAATGACTTTCAAGTGCGCCTGTGTGGATGTTCCATTCGGCGGAGCTAAGGCTGGTATCAAGATTAATCCGAAACTATACTCTGAACACGAGCTGGAAAAGATTACGAGGAGATTCACGTTGGAGCTCGCGAAGAAAGGGTTCATCGGTAAAATTCCCGAATATTCGACATATTGTCCCCTAAGGCCGCAAAGAAGAGAACAGAATCGAATAATTTTATCTTTAAAGAAATGTTCACGGAGGCATTTCATATCTTCATCAAGATGTTCTGTAATCCTTTTGTTTTCACTGAATCGATAGCTAAATTTGTAGCACTTCAATTTTATCTGTTTATCCAAATGGATCGCGTGTATCGTCTATTTCGATAATTGATTAGTTTAGAAATTTGTATGCTCTTATAATTATTTCATGATTTGGTAGTAATAAGTAATGTGTTTGTAGAAAGAGCAATTCAGGATCTGATAGATGCTTCTATTAATCAGACATATCTGATAAACACTGTCTTAAATGTGATGTTTTTAATCATTTGGACAATCCACGGTTAATCGGTAATATATTGGCAGATAATTTATTTGAACAGATTATTCGAATAATTGATAGCGTCGATGCAGGATGTGCAAGATTAGGCTTAATCCATTAAGTCAGCCAGGTGATATAGAATCAAATGCAGTAGTATTATTCTGTGGACCAAAAGTATTTCTTATTACACAGAGGAGGGTTCGAATATATTAACAATTTTTATAGTATTCTTTTAAATAGCCTACTCTATAAACTAACCTTGAAGCATAATTATGAAGTTGAATAAAATACACATTTCGATTCAAAGGACCTGGTGTCGACGTACCTGCTCCCGACATGGGAACCGGAGAACGAGAAATGTCCTGGATCGCGGACACTTACGCGAAAACCATAGGCCACTTGGACATCAATGCTCACGCCTGCGTGACTGGAAAGCCTATCAACCAAGGTGGAATTCACGGACGTATATCCGCGACCGGTCGTGGTGTGTTTCACGGCCTGGAAAATTTCATCAACGAAGCCAATTATATGAGTATGATCGGTGAGTCGCGTTCAAGTATTTTCGTTTCGTAATTGTTCACCGCGAGGTTCGCTGTAAGGATTCGATCGATTCCAGGCACTACACCCGGCTGGGGAGGAAAAACATTCATTCTGCAAGGTTTCGGTAACGTTGGTTTGCATTCGATGCGTTACTTGCATCGTGCTGGTGCTACCTGCATAGGAGTTATTGAACACGATGGTGCTATTTGCAATCCAGAAGGCATCGACCCGAAAGTAAGTAACGCCCTTGGCCCACAAATGAACCGTTATGTCGATGACGTAATATCTTTAATGAGATTGTTCGTTCCTTAGCAACTGGAAGACTACCGTATAGAAAATGGCACTATCGTGGGCTTCCCTGGTGCTAAG